CACTTTTTTAAAAAATCTTGAAAAAACTGTTAATTTATTATTGCATGTAAAGTTTGGCCTATCTATAGCTAGTAACGTCAGTTTGGGAAACTATCAATGTTTCACCCATTTTTAAAAATAAACCGAAAGTGGAAGTCAAAGAACATAACTCCAACCATAGTAATCAAATTCCAAGACACTTGTAAATTGGGAATAGTTATAGTCTATTCAAGACCTTAATACATGTAAAGATGGAGAATCACAGACTTTTTTGTAAACTAATGACCTTGTTTCCCTCACTGAAATTTTGACTCTATGTAATGTTTTACGTTCTTTATCACTTCTTTTCCATCAAAGAAGAAGAGTTTATATGAAAGGTGGTTACTACTAGCGGTTTTAACGGTCTAAGGGCATTTGTGTCCTTTCACTGAATTTCTATAAGCTTAAATTCTTTTTTCTAAACCTAAGTTACTAACACTCTCTCGCTCACCACTACAAAACTCTCTCAAAAGAAACGGAAATAACAAAATAAAAAAAATACGCCAGCTACTAGTCTTTGAGTTGTGCATGGCCAAGCCAGAAATTGTCTTGAATTGCGTAGCTTGGCCATGCATGGTCAGGTCGGATCTTGGCCTCAGTTGTGCATGGTCAGCCTAGATCTTGGCTTGAGTTGCATGACCTATCCTCAAACAATGGATCGACCTCTCACTAGATTCCACCGTTAGGCCTTGCGACAGCCACGGCAGGCATGGTTGTCATTTACTACATATCTTTTCTTTTTTAACTCTTGAAATTTTTTGTTGTTTTTTTTTTTTTTTTTTTAATTAGAAAATTGAGAGAAAATTTGAGAAAGATTAGAGTTTCTATGAACTTTTGGAAGTCCAAAATAAGTGGAAGTGATAATTTGTGTAAAAATCTTGATTGAATGGAAGATTTGTGGAAAATCTGGTTGTATTTAAAATTGGAAGTTTTATATCTGATTTCTAAAAAAGTTCTGTAAATTCACAATGTAAGCAATAAACTTGGATTTTTATAAACTTTTGAATTCTGTAAATTTTTGGTGTATTGATGGTTTAGTTTAATATTCTGATTTTTCTTTTCATATTTTTAATTAATTTATGATTTTTTTTTTTTATTTTGATACTATTTTTTCAAAGACTTTTTATTAATTTNTTTAGTTGCTAAATAATGCATAAGCACGCCTTTCAATTATATGATTTCTAGATGAATTTGAGGCTAGATGAGAGAAAAGATGAATATATGCTTTAGATGCTAAATAACGCGTAAGCACACCCTTCAATGATATGAGCTCTAGATGAATTTGATGCAAGATGAGAGGAAAGATGAATATATGTTTTAGATGCTAATTAACGCATAAGCTTATCCTCGTATTCCAATGGAGGAAAGATTAACATACGCTTTAGATGCTACATAACGCGTAAGCATGCCTCCCGATGATATGAGCTCTAGAAAATTTGAGGCTAAATGAGAGGAAAGATGAATATATGCTTTAGATGCTAAATAACACATAAGCATGCCTCCCGATGATATGAGCTCTAGATGAACTTGAGGCTAGATGATATGAAGTGCTTAAGATGCTAAGAAAAGTCCGATCGGCTAGACGTTAAATGTTTCATATGCATTTAGTTGCATTACATGAGTTATGATGTTATTTACATCATTAGATTATTTGTACTCATGTTAGATGATATTTAGATGTTATGTCATGACATGTGATGTGTGTGCACTATGTTTACATACTTATTTGTATGTGTACACTTAATGTTTTATATGACTATAGGGAAGATGATGAAAAGTATATGAGTTAGTAAAGGAAATGAACCATACTTAGATGCAAAAGAGGTGTGGTATGTGAATGAATGTGTTTGAATGAATGTCAAATAACATACTTGGTATTAAATGGAGTAAAGGAAATGAACCATACTTAGATGCAAAAGAGGTGTGGTATGTGAATGAATGTGTTTGAATGAATGTCAAATAACATACTTGGTATTAAATGGATCATTCCTTACTGAGTGATTAGCACTCACCCTTTATGGTTGAATGTTTTACAAGCAATCAAGAAGCGAGGGATGTTGGAGACAGCAAGGTTTTGCATGAGGGGAGATAATTTATTGTCATCCTGACGTTCTATCTTGATGTAAATAAGGTAAATGACAAATGTTTTTTAAACACCTTTTTGAAGCTTCTACCATATGAATGAAAATAGCATTAATATGTTTTGATTGATTGATGCCCAAATGAATTTAAGTTTTTATTTTTATTTTTAAAGGTACAAATTTTGATCCTGCGGTACATCTTATAATAATGTTTTAGACATTATTATTATTCTTGCACAGATTTTCTAAATACAACTCGTTCCCAAGACATGAATTCTCTGGATTCTCATTGAGTGATATTCAGAGGGTACCTGACTGGGGAGGGGTTTTACAGGCTATTAGCCCAATGGCACTCATGTTACTTGGCCAAGGTATAAGTCCAAGGTTCAAGTCATGGGGGAGGCGTTTGCAAGGTGGAAAAAGGACCAAGAAGCAAAGCAAAGTCGTGAGGGTCCGAAGGAGGCGTGGCCAGAAGGACCCATAGCAGACAATACCTTGGACGTGTCCGACGCGTGAGGAAAGCCCTTGAGCTCGAAGGTGGCGAGATAGAGGATAGCCCCCGGTCGTGACAATAAAACTGCACCTTTTTTATTGTTACGACCGGGGGCTATCCTCTATCTTGCCACTTCGGCTCAAGGGCTTTCCCCACGCGTCAGACACATCCAAGGTACTGTCCGCTATGGGTCCTTCTGGCCACGCCTCCTTCGGACCCTCACGGTTTTGCTTCACTTCGTGGTCTTTTTTCCACCTTGCGAACACCTCCCCCATGACTTAAACCTTGTACTTATACCTTGGCCAAGTAACATGAGTACCATTGGGCCATTAGGTTAATTGGCCCAATGGTACTCATGTTACTTGGCCAAGGTATAAGTCCAAGGTTCAAGTCATGAGGGAGGCGTTCGCAAGGTGAAAAAAATACCACGAAGCAAAGCAAAGCCGTGAGGGCCCGAATGAGGCGTGGCTAGAAGGACCCATAGCGGACAATACCTTGGACGTGTTTGGCACGCAGAGAAAGCCCTTGAGCCGAAGTGGTGAGATAGAGGATAGCCCTCGATCGTGACACCAAGCCACTGTTGACCAACGACCACCACCATTAGCTGCCACTAACAATCACCATAACAGGGTATGACTAGTCGAATCTAACCAATCGTGCATCAATATGGTCCTTTTCGACCAGATCAATGGTTGAAAATGGCCAGGTGGTCGTGGATCTAGCCAGAAATGGCCAAATCTCTTATGGTCGTTTTCTGCCAGATTTATGGCCATTGTGTGCCATGGACCTAGCCGTAACGGCCAGATCTATTTTGGCACACGGCACCATGGATATGACCATTAACGACCAGAATAGATATGGCCGTTTCCAACCAGATCTATGGCGATTTGGTGGTTTTCAACCATCGATCTAGTCGGAAATGACAATATTGGCACACGACTGGTTGTGCGCCATTTCGACGATCCTCGGCAGTGGCTGACAGCGGCCAACGATGGTGGTTAGCAGCCAACGATGGTCCTAGTTAGCCTGCAATTTGTTTTTAAATATAAGGGTCTTATTGTCCAAAAACTTAATTAAAAATTTTAATAGTTAAGGGTAAAATTGTAACAAAATTAAGATTACCAAGTAATTTTAAAATACTTAAGAAGATAGAGGTAATCAGATTACAACATATATAACCAATAGTAATTACTATTGATTTTGAAATATTACCAAAATCTTATATTACTTGACAACCAAACGTGGTAATCTAAGTAATATAAGTCGACATTACCTCAGTAATGGGGGATTACCTTCAACCAAACACAGAATTAGGGAATTCATTAGAAATACCATAAAGGAATTAAAAGTAATTTAGATATTCTACTCTGATCAAATGTATTGCTATAACTATGCTTGATTTCTCTAAACATAGATCTTCTTCTTCTTTTTTTCTTTTTTTTTTTTTCTTTCTTTCTTTCTTTCTTTCTAGGTTAACAAATAAGTGATAGCTTCTTATGAGCAAAAGTATTGTTTCGCCAAATCGTTTCAGTATTACATGATCAAAAGCTGGAAAGTGAAGAGAAGCAAAATATGGCATGATCGGAAGCTGGCAAGTAAAGAGAAGCAAAACAATCAATAATATGGTGTGCTTGGTAGAGTATTTTGAGTTGTATTTTTGAGAAAGTTGAGTTGGGTTGTTATTACGATAATAAGATTTAAAAATTAATAAAAACACCCCCTACATTTGTTAATTTGCTAAACACCCCCTACAATAAAACATTGAAAATTAACAAAAACACTTTCTTCCACCCATTAAATGTCGGCAACTGGCCACCACCACGAAAGGGTGGTCGGAGTTGCTGGAATGGCGCACGACCAGCCAGAACCTATTGAATCTGGCCGGTCGTGCGTCAATCTGGCAAAAAAAAGCCAGATCTTTGGTCATAGATCTGGCCTTTTCCGACTAAATCTACAGTGGATCTTATCGTAAAATGCTTAATCGGCGCACTACCAGCCAAATCTAACCGGTAGTGCTTCATTACGAGTAATTCCAACCACCTTCCGACAGTTGTGATCAGAATCTGGCAAATATAGGTAAGTAGGAGTGTTTTTGTTAATTTATAAACTTTTATTATTGAAGGTGTTTAGTCAAATTAACAAACCTATAAGGTTAAAAGTTAAATATTTTGAATTGAATAGAATAAGATTAGATTTTGAAAATATTGAAACAAATATATAGTTTAAATAGAATATGAATAGGATAGAATAAAATAGTAAAACAAACGCAACCATATTTCTTGGTTTAAATAATATTCTGTTCTCGATTATTTGTATGCAAGAGAAGGATATCTAAGAGTTTTATGTTATTATTTTTATGCATTTTCTGCAGATCAGTTTGAGGTAGCTATCATGTTACTGTTTCAAAGAGTCAAGAACAGAGTTACTAATATAAATATAAAGTTTTTGGATTTGAATACAGTATTTATTCTATTTACATTCGAATGAAAGAGCAGGGATATGTTAAACATAGAAACCCATTTATTTTAGATGTCCCTCGATATGTTGGAACTCATGGGTTTGATCCAAGTTCTTCCGGAAATAAATTTCTTATTTGTTACTTGTACGAAAACTAAAAACAATCTGGGTCTTTCAGCATATCTTGTTGAGTTCTAAATTTCTTTCGGCGAGCACGCGGAAACAGGAGTTGCTGGATCTGCTTTTCGGCAGCAAATTCAGATGCCGCCTACAAAAACGGGTTGGCTAACTGTTAATCAATCAATTAATGCAATGTACGTAAAGCTTTTATCAAAAAGTTGTCAAGCAAAGGATGATCTTATTCAGAATGATTCAGCAAGCTTATTTAGAAAAACATAAAACATAATTATCAACATGCTTCTGCAAACACGTACATGTATAGGACAATAGAGCAAAATTTGTTTCACCAGTAGAACATTTGAGCAAGCAAACACAAACTCCACCGGTATAATGTCATAAGGTATCATCTCAGACAATCAAATTAACATATTGATAGGTACTAGATGATCTAGAAAGATAGGAATTGTAGGCGAAAAATGCATTTGGATAAATTTCTTATTTAAGAAAAACATTACATGGCGTTATGAAATTAAAAGAAGTACATTTGATCCAATATTATCAATTGCAATATAAATTGCTTACCTGGACTTTGAAAGGAAAGCGATGAGTCCGTACTTCTACCCCAGAGAAAACTCTGACATCCATACCGAGACTATCAACTCCAATCAAGTTTGCTCCCTACAGAATCAAATTAACCGATCAGAGTTTCATAATGGTCAAATGAATTAAGAAACGTTAAATGACAAAAACTTTAGCTAACACATTATCTGAGGATAAAAAGGAATGCTACAGGAGGTGGAGAAATACTAAGAGAACCTCACTTATGTTGCAAATACAAACAATTCCGTGACGAAATAAGAACAGCATCCATAAAATCATCTAACAATGATACAAAATCACTTGATTTACATCACATCAATTGAACAGCATGCTCAAAATATTTTCTACCATGCCTCATAGTTGCTAAAACGCATCCATCGTATCAAATTTAACACGAAAAAGTTTCAGGTCAGTTCCAAGTAAAATAACTGGTTAGTGAGGTTAAGAAGTTTGCTACATGAAATTATGTTTCTTGAGAAATTATACCCCATAAGTTTCATGAAATTTTACAAAAAAAGGAAGATTCAAAAGTAGTTCCATTTGTGTTTTTATTCTCCAAATTCTTATATTTCATTAGTAAATCGGATATCATTGCATACAACGGTTCATTGCTAAAAGTTACAAAGTGAAAATGAACTATGAGGCACAGACATGTCTATACATGAGCGGTGGCATCTTTGGAAATTATATCTGACACACAGATGACCGGAACATAACTCATATCTTCAGAATAATCAATTACAGGAGTCAATTTATTTCTTTCAAAGTCCAGTCAATTCTTAGTCACAAGTATCTTGTAAACACAGAACAATTTCCCAAAGCACAGCTATGTAGGTTCAAATGTTCACACCAAGCATATAAATATTTCATTGTTGACTTCAAAACTTACTCTATATGGTAATGGAAATAAATAATACTAGGTCTACAACCCAATCTCACAACCCCCGACGTAGCAGTTCGACATTAATTAACTTGCAAATGGGCAGGTGGAATCTATACAAGCAGACGAGACCCATTTTGCGAGTTAACCAATGACGAACTGACACGTCGAAAGTTGTGAGATTGGGTTGTAGACCTAGAATTACTCAATGGAAATATATACTGAATAACATTTTTATAATAGCATCGTTTTTAAGGGGCAATAACATGTATTCTGGCAAACTTCTGCACAAATGATGTTGCACTCATTCATAAACATCCAAAAGAGTAAACTGAATTCAGGTATCACACGACAAAGTGTAAAACATACAAATTGCTAATCGAGACAAGTGTCTTGAAAAGCATAGCTAATCAAGTACACACATAAACCTCGACACTTATAAGAAAACCAGCATATAATAGTTGAAATTCGTTTTACCTCAACATTAAGACCTTTCTTTTTACAAAGCGCTTTAAGAGCAACATTGCACCTAATTCCTTTTTCACTGAAGTGCTCTATAATTGCTGAAGTACAGTGTACAAGGGCATCGGGCTCAGCATCTTGAAAGTCTTGCAAATTAATTGGATACTGCATGTATTCAAAGTAATGCAAATTTGAATCCAAGGGTCAAAATCCGGTACACGGGAACCATTGTAGAATGACATGAACTTATTTTTACATTTAAGTAACTGAATCCGATTGCAGGACTTGAATGTTATAACCAATTGCTAACAATACCTACTTGTTAACCGAGCTGGATAGAATAATTTACATTGTTTCTTATTTTTAAACAAATAAGATCACAGTAAAATTTTAATTTTCATAACTCCAAAAAGTCAGGTTGGTCAGGATAACAGGAGTCAAACTTATAAAAACAACAATAGGGAGTGTAATGTACATGCCTGGACTCCATACACAGAGAATAAGTCTATTCTCATAATCTCCAACCGGTAGAGAGTTGAGCTAGTGTTGCTTTTATCACTTTTCGAACTAAAACTCAGAATTTCACCATCTAAACAAAACAGCAAGGTAAGTCAAATTAAAATACCACAACATATATATTTATATGACCAAACTTTTTAACTTGGAAGAACTAATTTATTAAAAAAATATAAAAAGGATTTCTATCCAAAATATTTGTCTTTTTGCAGAAGCATATTACACACATATATAGATACAGAATGTATAATCTATTTGGGTCCATTGTTTGACTACTGTAATATAACAGCTACTCACATCCTCGCATAATGAACAAGGAATATTAATCTGACTGTATTTCATTTTCTTAACCAATAATAAAAAAACAGGCTGATAGTCATAGGACTAAAAAGATGCAAAAGGACCCATTGCCAGTTCAAAGCGTCAGAAACCAGGCAGGCCTGAATAGAACACATCATGGCCTATGCGGCTAAGACTACATTACAACACTAACGCATATGGATTGCCATTTTAACGATTCCAGAAGACATAGCATACTTACAAATTACAATTGAGAGACATCCTAGACCACCCACTGGATGGTTATGAATTTATATCCACCAATGCTATAACTTTCATTCTAAAAGTATCCCCCTGATCTCACAATCCCCTCAAGTCCTAGTAACTTTATCACTGCAAGATTGGTGCATTTGGTGATTGAATAACCTAATCCTAAAAAATGGGATACCTTTCCAGTCTGAGATGCTGCCATCACTATCTTCACAGTGAAATTGCCTTCGTACATAAGTTTCTTCATCAGCAAAAGCCAGTCTGAGGTATCCCACAATAGAAACACCATTTGAAGGATGATCCATTTTTCTATAATATTCCATATTAACAGCCTACATAAAAGTAAAAACTTTATAAACCATACAGCAGGCTGCATACTAAGCCATATAATTGAAAAAATCAGAATAATAAGATACGCATGAATCTTATCGATACAACCAAATACAAAGGACACTGCTTCTTCCCTCCAGGAACAGATATAAATGAATAAAGCAATCAAAACCATCTATATTGCCTGCAATAAATCTGGAATTAGATACTTCTCAATTTCAATAAAAAAAATAAAAAAAGAACTTTTAGTAGACACTAGACTTGAATAAAAAATATATTAACACAAATAATTAGGGTTTACGAAATTTGTATCTTAAGATGTGTTATTAATTTAGAAATAAATGGTTGAGCTTCTATCCATGATTTAGAAATAAATGGTTGAGCTTATAGAGTTATAAATAATTATATTATTCACAAATAAAAGCTTAAAAAATATTATTATAATTTAAAATTTTGATTTATTACTTTTTGAAGAATAAGATATGATGTTATTTTTTTCTACTTAAAATAGAAATAAATTTATTCAATCTAAAATTGGCCTTTCAAAAAAAAAAAACATCTTTCGGTGTGTTTGGTTCATTATTTTGGATAGGATTTTGGGAATAATATTAGGTAGTTGAATAGGGGAGTATTATGAGATAAAATTTAAAAATTTATAAAAAAGCCCATAGGTTTACTAATTTAATTAAACACCCCAACATATAAAATGACAAAAATACTCCTACCACTTGCAGCGCCAGATTCCAGCCACCACCGCTGGAATCTGGCCGAAAAATCGAGTTACAACTCAAACCGGTTGGATCTGTGTCGTAACGTGTCGTTATAGCCTTTTCCGGCTAAATCCACCACGGATCTGGCCAGAAAAGGCCAGATCTACGGCCTGCTATGGCAGTCGACGATCGAAAAAGGCCAAAACGATGGCCATCTTTGACCATCAGCGACGACCAATATGGCCGTCGTTTTCGGTCAACGATGGCCAAGATTTAGCTATCGTTTACCGTCAACGATGGCCAGAGCTGACTTTTTCCAGCCAGATCCATTGTGGATCTGGCTGGAAAAAGCCAGATCTGTGAATTACCAGCCAGTTCCGGTCGGTAATTCACCGTTGTGGCAGATTCCGGCTACAACCGACGGTGGTTGCTGGAATCTGCCAAATATAGGTCACGGGAGTGTTTTTGTTATTTTTTAAACTTTTTTCAGGGGGTAATCAATGAAATTAATAACCTTATGGGGTCTAAAATTAATTGAAAAAATTGGATAATATTTCTGGAATAATGTGCCAAAGATTATTTGAAGAATATGATTGAGAATATGGGTAGGAATAATGAACCAAACACGGCCTTTAATATTTGTTACTATTTAGAAATATTTTATAAGAGAAAAATAGATAGCTAAAAGGGTGAGGTGGAAGGTGGGTAGTGGTAGACATGGCCACATGGACAAGTGATGTAAGAGATTTGCAAATATTGGTACATGCATGACACATATCCACACACATATGAAAAGAAATTATAAGAACTAATAAATAAAATTATCATTTTATCATTTTATTTATATGTGGTGAGTGGCAAAGTATCAATATAGTTAATGAAATTCTTTTATATGGTATGGTATGGGACTAGAAAAGTGACAATCACCCCCCATATACAAAGATTCATTACTCAAACTAAGATTATATATATATAGTAGAAATTTTGCAACCAAAAGATATTTCACTATCTTTGCTCTTCATCGTTTCTCCAAAATGACAATAGATCTCATCCATTTTGGCACAGACTTAAGAGTGATCCCATCAAAGCTTTCACACAAAAAGGTTTTTTTTTGGGTTAAAGTATCTTTTACATTATTATTTTTTAATTAAAAAAAAGGTTCATGAAAACCTAAAAAGTTTTTTATTTTTTTTATTTTAAATAATAACTAATTTTTATCTATCAAATGCTTAATATAATACTACAAGGGATTTTTACTCTCAATTTTGTTTACTAAGATAAAAAATGGTGGTTAAATAATTTGGTACATTTAAGAAAGTAACTCCAAAAGGTTAATGGGGATTGAAAAATGTGCATACTTTTAGCCAATGTAATAAAAATCTCAACCAATTGATCAGATACTTTAATTAAAAAAGAAGCTTCATGCAACAAAAACATTCAATTGCACCAAGAAACCTGTTTTGCCTAAAATATATAGGGTTGACATAAGGTCCAGTAAGCATGCAAAGGTCAGAACATAGGTACACCCGCAACCTGCTTCTGTCAGAATAGTGGGTGCGCACCAGGCCAGTCAGAAGCTGTGGTGATCTCACGTGTCCAATCCCTGCTCTAAATCACGCAAATCACTCTGGAAGGTGGGCAATGTGACATAAAGAATGATTTGCACGGATGATCCCACCAACTCACAGATCCAGTAATCATTTCCTCAATATATCCCACTATAAATTGAGAGCTCCTCTCTCATTCAAGGGATTCGCTCATTTTTACTCTTGATTAACTATTCTCTCCCAAGAATATATAGCATTCTCTCTCTTGTCCTATCATTTTGTGAGTCATTTGTAAACCACTTGTAAGTTAGTCCGCTAACGCGACCTGACCCTTATCATTAATACAAACATCAGTGGACCTAGGACTTGCTACCTTAGCATCCGAACCACTTTAAAAGTTGTCTCCATTGCATTTACTCTTATTTTCCTTTATATTCACGTGTGTCTTCTGGGTCAGCTCAACATTTCACACGTGTTTTTGGTTGGTTAAAAAAATCACGTATCAACAAACTGTTGACGCTTGATTTGGGACATCAACAACTCGCACGTGAGAAGCGCTAAGCGGATTTATGAATCACACGTGATAGATCCATGAGATTTGAATATGGAGCTGAGATTATATATGTTGTAGAAAACATAAATAATAGGTTGACAAGAGAGGTTTTTATAATGGTTCGGATGCTCAACAAGCGACTCCTCCATCCACCGTTATTTTATTAATCTCTTACTATTTCTATGATCTTGCCCAAAAGACATACAAAGATGAAGAAATACAGTGTTTACAAAGAGAAAGAATTGAGCTCTTATCTATGGTTAGCTCTCATATGCCTAGCCCCCCTCTTCAGGAAGAAGAGTGTCAATTTATACACCTAAACACTCAATGTAATGAGTGTTTTGCAAGTTGTCTTGACACATGGAAGACTCTCGTCCATTCGTCTCTTTGAAATGAGATAAAGTTGGTGTGAATATCTTTGAGGAGATATCGACTTGGCAGCATATTAATTAGGCTGACATAAGCATGACTTTTGAGACATAACAGAACTATTACTTCTTAATCTCATTTACAAGCATGTCACGACCCAGATCTACACCCCTGGGCTGGGCTGATCGGCCTACTGCGGCCCACTCTAGGCTAACCCCAGCGTGACTCACTAGGACTATCCTCGGCCCTGGACCACCGAGTTTCTTTCGCCTTCCCCACCACTCGAACCCATGCCCTCCAGGCTTAACAGGCAATGGGAAGCATGGTGAGTACCATCAGGCTACTCACCATGCTTCCCATTGCCTGTTAAGCCTGGAGGGCATGGGTTCGAGTGGTGGGGAAGGTGAAAGAAACTCGGTGGTCCAGGGCCGAGGATAGTCCTAGTGAGTCACGCTGGGGTCAGCCTAGAGTGGGCCGCAGTAGGCCGATCAGCCCAGCCCAGGGGTGTAGATCTGGGTCGTGACAAAGCATAATAGTTGGCAAAAGAACGATAGAGAAATACATATGGAGTGGATTAGGTTTTGCATAATTCATTTCATAACAGACATATTGTTGGAATCTTCCAAATCCATGGTATGATAAGTGGGCCTAGCTGTTTAGTCAACATAATTTAAAAAATCTTCCAAATATTCTCATCTCATTTATACTTGTGTTAGCAAAAATTACGTGACAGACTTTTTCTCAAAACTTGTCTACTCTTAATCAATATTCAACTTTGGTGGGGAGAATGTCATCCAATGAACACGTTGGGAGAGTAAGAATAGTGGCGGGTAGTTGTCAAACGGATGATAATAAAATATCAAAACTCATCGGCTCCGTTTGGTTCAAAATTTGGGGGTTTTGGGAAAAGTTTTTTGAAAAAAGTTAAAAAAAAGTTGAATTTGGCAGGTATTACGATGTAGAATTTATAAATTAATAAAATATCCCATATATTTGTTTTTTTACAAAATACCCCCTATAATAAAACATTAAAAGTTAACAAAAATACCCCTAACCCACCCTCAAACACCCCCAGTCGGCCACCACCACCGGAGGTGGCCGGAATCGTCTTATGGGCGCATGACCGGCTGGATCTTGCCGGTCATGCACCGATATGGCCTTTTCCGGCCAGATCTACGGTGGATCTGGCCGACAAAGGCCAGATCTACGGCCAGATCTAGCCGTCAACCGCCAGATCTGGCCGTATTTGCTCTCAACGACGGCCAACAAACGGTCGTCGTTGATGATCAACGACGACCGTTTGTTTGGCCGTCGTGATCGACTGTTACGGCCAAAGATCTGGCCTTTTCCGGCCAGATCCACCGTGGATCTGGCTGGAAAAGGCTAGATCGGCGCACTACCGGCTAGATTCAGCCGGTAGTGTGCCATCCTACCAAATTCCAGCCATTTTCCAGCGGTGGTGGCCGGAATCTGGTAAATGTGGATTATTGGGGTATTTTTGTAATTTTAAACAAATATTTAGGGGTATTTAATTAAATTAACAAATTTAGAGGGTTTAAAAAAATTGAATAATATTGAAAATAGTATTCCAAAAAATGAGAGTTTTTGGGTATTTTACTGTTTAACTTTTTTGGGAATACTACTTTGGCAACCAAACAAAGCCATCGTTTTTGCAGTTCTATAATATGGCAAAAGATAAAACATGAGTTGATTGCTAAAAATGTCAGTGAAAGCAAAGGGTGCACATAGCTCTAGACTCTAGTACATAAATTGGTCAAGTTACTGTCACAATTATTTATCACCCATCAAATTGTATATAATTACCGAAATGGGACTACACTATTTTGATCATAAACTGATCATAGCATTCTTTTTATCACTTTTTTTTTTTTTTTTTTTTTGGGATTCTCTGTTAATTTTATTTTACCTAATTTTTTTTAGGATTTAAAGACACTTGACAATTTCACTATTTAACGCCTAGGATTAATTCATATAA